CAGGAGCGGGTGGAGCCGGTGCAGCTGGTGTCAGGGCGGGCACGACTGCTGCTGGCAGGAACACCCGGTATGAGCAGAAACCCTGCTCACGATGTCCTCGGATTTCTGGTCTAGCCTAATCTGTCCTTCCAGGCTGAGAGCAGAGTCTGTAAAGGAGAGGACAAAGGAGTAGTGTCAGGGGTTTTTATATATCGAGGTACTTGGGTTAGTCCAGCGAACCTCACGGCTTTTCACATAGTCCGGGCTGGACGGAGTGGTTGTGTTGAGCACAGGGACCAGCTCTGCAGACTCACCAGCTGGCACACAGTGGAAGCCCGCGGAGACCGGGACAGTCCTGGTGGCTGAACAGCCCTCTGCGCAGCGTAGAACTGGCTCCACGGAGAAGCATTTTGCTGCCTTCTTCTCAAATGCAACTGGCTTCTCAATTTTGACAAATTTGCGCTGCAGCTTACAAGCTGTAAAACATGAATTCTCTTAAAGCACCTACAGAATTTATGTGAATGGCTCTTTGGGCTTTATTTGTAGAATTAGCAACAACTTAGACCAATGACCAAGTGACACAAGCTACATCAAACTAATCTGAGTCATTTAGCTGTCAATGTCTTAGGCTGTGAGAAAATCAGGCATGTGAAACACAGTCCTAAAGACAGAGGCTTGCCAAACAGGACCTGGGTAGGACACAATCCAAAAAGATACATGTGAAAACCTCAGTCAACTGATGCTCAGCTTTACCCAAACTATGACAGCACTTCATTTTGGAGCAAGAGTTGCCCCTAGATATCCATATATCCACTGCTGCACTGTGCCTAGCATCACACCTGCCTTGCCATGGCTGACTAGCTTAGACCTTAAGCCTCTCTGATCCACACTTTCTTGGACTAGTCTCCCCAGAGGAGCTTGATCTAAGAATAGATTCCAAAAACGTCACCACATGCCCGGAGAATTAGGTTCCACACAAGATGCAGTGCACCCTAATGTTTTCAATATGTTCATGTTGATTTCAATATGTTTTATATAGGACCTGGATGGTAAGAACAACCATTACCAGGCTGAAGGTTTTGGATTCAGTTCATCTTCAACCTGAGGTAATTAAAACAGGTATTTCCCACCTCAAATGCCCTCTAGTTCAACAGCCACGGCTAGATTGATTTTTTTTTTTTTTTCTGGGAAACTAAAAGCCTGGAAATAAATAATGAAACTTAAGCATGACATAAAATGTCTTTTGTCACAGACAAACTACCTACTTTTCATACTGACTTAGCATCTTTGGGAGTTTTAAGTTTATAATTTTATCTGGAACACACAAACATCAGATATCTACATCATGCATAAGAAGTTGATATTAAAACTGCAACAAAACCAGAACTTGCAGTGAACTAACAAACTCGGGAAAAAGAGATACTTTATTTTTTTTGGTCTATGGCCACTAATCACAAAAATAGTGAAAAATAAGATGATAGTGCTACAATTAATATAAATCATCTATTCATGTGACTAATTAATTTATCAAAGGCAACAATATTAATCACAGAATCGTCTAGGTTGGAAAAGACCTTGAAGATCATCCAGCCCAACCATTAACCTAATATTGACTGTTCCCAACTACACCAGATCCCTCAGCGCTAAGTTGACCCGACTCTTAAACCCCTCCAGGGATGGGGACTCCACCACCTCCTTGGGCAGCCCATTCCAACACCCAACAACCCCTTCTGGAACGAAATACTTCCTGACATCTAGTCTAAACCTTCCCTGGCACAATCTGAGGCCATTACCTCTTATCCTATCGCTTACTACTTGGTTAAAGAGGCTCATCCCCAGCTCTCTGCATTCTCCTTTCAGGGAGCTGTAGAGGGCGATGAGGTCTCCCCTCAGCCTCCTCTTCTCCAGACTAAACCCCCCCCAGTTCCCTCAGCCGCTCCCCCTACGACCTGTGCTCCAGACCCTGCACCAGCTCCGTTGCCCTTCTCTGGACACGCTCGAGTCATTCAATGTCCTTTTTGTAGCGAGGGGCCCAAAACTGAACACAGGAATCGAGGTGCGGCCTCACCAGCGCCGAGTACAGGGGTCAGATCCCTTCCCTGTCCCTGCTGGCCACGCTATCGCTGACACAAGCCAGGATGCCATTGGCCTTCTTGGCCATGGGCACACTGCTGGCTCCTGTTCAGCCGGCTGTCAATCAGCACCCCCAGGTCCCTCTCTGACTGGCAGCTCTCCAGCCACTTGTCCCCAAGCCTGTAGCACTGCTGGGGTTGTTGTGGCCCAAGGGCAGCCCCCAGCATTTGGCCTTATTGAAGCTCACCTAGTTGGGCTCAGCCCATGGCTCCAGCCTGTCCAGGTCTCTCTGCAGAGCCTCCCTACCCTCGAGCACATCAACACTCCCACCCAGCTTGCTGTCATCTGCAATATATGTTAGAATCTTAGTACCTCCAGCACAGGGGTCTTCTGAGATGATCCAGGACTGACCAAAGCTCACTGCATCTTTAGCTAAATATCCACTGGGCATTTGATATTCCCTTTTCTTCTCAGCATCATATTTTCCACAAATACCACATGTTTTTCCAGCCATCCAGAAAGCAACCTGAATCTTTGTGGAAATAAAGAAAAGATGCACTTAAATGTTTTTCTTTAAAAATAAACCCACTGAAAATAATTTTTACAAATACCTCAAGTCTATGCCCATCATAGTATAGTTTATCTATGCCATAATCTGGGGCTTTTAGTGACAAGCCTTCCTTTTCACTGCTGATCAGCATGCTTGCATCTGCAACAAAAAAAGGAAAAAAGGGATTTATTTTAAAAGGATGTTATTGTTTTAGGGTCCAACCTCAACCACTTGTTAAATTCCTGGGGACTTAATGAAGACTCTAATGTATCTTGAAATTGATGGGGGAAATGAGAAAGACCGTACTGCTGTCTGCCCTGGAACAAACCAAAGCCCTGTGACAAGGGCGGCTGTGGCCGGAGGACATCTAGATGCTTGTTCTGTGGGTCTCCGTGATCAGAACAAGGTATCACAGCCCTGCATTGCTTGGTCCATACAAAGATACACAGGATCAGCATCTCTTTCCTTGCTCATCTTTCTTGCCACTCCTATGAAAGCTAGCATGAAGTTATGTTAAAATCACTTAATTGTTTCTCAAATTAAGACGATCTTTATCTTGAGAGGTGTTTGCAGCAACATGTGCTTTCCTTCTTCAAAAGATCAGAAAAGATTAAACAAAATATAAAAATGAGTCTCTTACCAGAATTAGATGTGTATGGAACATCTGTCGGGGCTTGAACACCATTAATCTTCAACTGGACAAGTCCATTGGAAACATACATGTCAACCTCACTTTAAGTAAAGGAAATGAGTATAAACAAATGCTCTTTGCCCTACTCAGCTCACAGTTTCTGGTCCTTATAGAACCAACACTGCAGGATGCTCATATCATTCTGGCATGAGTCACCTGCTACCCTTTAGGAGGAAGATGGAGAGAGCCCAGAAAATCCTGCCAGGAGGAGTGCACAATACACCTTTCCATGGCTTTACTCATCTCTGAGTGTCTGCCATGGTTCAGGCAGTAAGACACCAGGCTACAGGGCCCCTTGCTGTGGAACAATATAATTGCTGTTATGTTCACACAAATTGAAGGTGCTTTACATTTCAAAGGAAGACTGGACTCCCTACAGTGGTTCTCTTACAGCCTGAATAGTCTGTGTATTGTAGTATTTTCTTCAGCGTTGTGTTCGCTCTAATGAAGAAATATGAAGCTCAAGCACATCAAAAGCACATCCATACAGTTATGTGAAACGATTGGGAATGATATAGAGATGAGGAATGTCTTTATCACAAAAGATACAGTCTATAAAACAAGCATCCTTCTGTACTTCCACAAAACAGGTGCAGGGCATACTAGTTTCTCTCTGTTTCACTAACATTATGGCACAGTTAGGCACACAATTTTCAGAAATAAGTAATTACTTGTAATGAAACCTTGCAGATCAAAGCCTATTTATGCACTTTTGGTATGCATAATCCCATACAATTTAGAGTATCAGACTATACTTCTAAAGAAGAACCTATGATGACAGACGTGATTGCTCCAAGATTAATGAAAGTGTGTTTTAAAATAATTTCAAACAGATTAGAACATTATGCACCAGCTAAGGGATGACCTAATCTGGGATAAGTAATTCCCTTTTTAGCTAGGTCCACTTCTCAACATCTCTGCTGAGATGATTGTGGGTGCTAATTAGTTCTAATTATTACCTTAGTGTAGGAGGTCAGACTAAATGATTACAACAGTCCCTTTGGGATTTATAGTTTATATGTCTACCTAACTACTAAGGAATGAAATGAGATGGTTAAATGCTAACAAATTAGTGAAAAATTTTGGGCAGTAAATTTAGGTTACTGTGAACCTCAGATATATTTCAGAATCACTTTTGAAAGACAAAGTCCCAAATCCCAGTGACACTCCTAGAAACCTTTTCACTGACATTAGTAATTTTGCATGAGTCTTGTGCTAGCACCAATCGCCCTAACAGTCTGGTCTTCACTTTTATAGCATATTCAGCTTGACATCTATTTGTCATTAAGTCTGCAATTACTTACTGGCTGGCAAGTCTGACATTTATTGCTGTAAGGTCAGCAGACTCTTCAAGTCTTTTCATCATCACCAGGAATTTCAGTTCTGGACTACAGTCCTGCAC